TATTTTACCTTCAAAGTCTCCATATTTTAGCCTTTATATTTTGTTTTGTTTCTTTATATATCTGAATGAAACGCATAGAAAACATTCAACATACACATGTCCTCCTTGGGGTTGAAACTGAGTGTATACATCATACAAATTGTCTCTTCAGTTAGATTTGAGATCCTCTCAAAGCCACGTTTGAGGGGGAGTAATAATATTTACAACTCAAAGAACTTAAGTTTTCAAATGGCCAACCGAAGTCCTAGGTCATACCTCACATGTGTAAGACCTTCTTTAGTCAAACCTAAGAATGGTCACTTCTCTAACCAAGGCCACTTAAACTTCTAATTGCTGCTAATGAACCCAGCAGCCCTTTGTATGAGTGAGCTGGTCTGACTCAGCAAGGTTTACAAGCAGGCCAGAGTGACACAGCAAGAGTGAGCCAGGCCTAGGCATAACAGAAAGCTGGAAAACACAGGAGATAGGTGTTAAGAAGAGAATTCCCTAGTGTCATCAGATAATTAGGAATGGGGAGAGGGAATGAAAAACTGAACCAAACAGAAACGTGGTATCAAGAATACATGAGACTTCCTATCAAGAATGGCAACGTAGGTAAATGCAGTCTTGCCTCCTTCTACAATCACGTCAACTTCTAGCGTACCAACATTCGCATCATGGGAGTGCCAGAAAAAGAAGAGAGAGGGCAAGAAACTGAAAATCTATTTGAAAAAATAATGACAGAAAATTTCCCTAACTTGGTGAAGGAAACAGACATACAAGTCCAGAAAGCACTGAGAGTCCCAAACAAGATGAATCCAAAGAGTTCCACACCAAGACACATCATCATCAAAATGCCAAAGGTTAAAGACAAAGAGAGAATCTTAAAGCAGCAAGAGAAAAGCAGGTTTTTTTTTTACCTACAAAGGAACTCCCATAAGACTGTCAGCTGATTTCTCAAAAGAAACTTTGCAGGCCAGAAAGGAGTGGCAAGAGATATTTAAGGTGATAAAAAGCAATGACCTACAACCAAGATTACTCTATCCTGCAAAGCTGTCATTTAGAATAGATGGACATATCAAGAGTTTCCCAGACAAGAAAAAGTTAAAGGTGTTCATCACCACCAAACCAGTATTATGTGAAATGTTGAAGGGTCTTCTTGAAGGAGAACACAACAATATGAATAAAATGGCAATTAATACATATCTATCAACAACTGAATCTAAAAACAAAATGGGCATGCAGAACAGAAATAGACTCATAGATACAGAGAACTTGTTGTTGCTTGCCAGATAGGTGGGGGCTGGAGAAATGGGTGAAAAAGATGAAGGAATTAAGAAGTACAAATTAGTTGTTAGATTGAGGAACCTCAAAGGTAAGGGGGAAGCGACAGTGGGATGAGATAAACTAAAGAACTTCTATACATATGTGCAGAACCAATGGACATTGACGATAGTGTGGGGAAGGCAGGAGGGGGGCAAGATTGGGGAGGAGGGGATCAATGGGGGAAAGAAGGGGGCATCTGTAATATATTCAACAATTAAGATGAGTTAAAAAAATAAAACATAAAAAATAAAGAATACATGAACTCTGCTGACCATTGTTACCATGTGTAATTCATGTCGCTATCACGTACTATTCTCACATTGTATTCTTTCAAGATAGAGCTGCAGTGAAAGTAGCAGTCAGAATAGCCAAGGTCGGTCTGCAGACTGATGAATGAGTTTCTGCAGCAGGGCCTCCTGGGGAAAGGCACACACAGGAAAACGCCCATTTCTCAGCTACATTCTCCTCTAGACCACATTGCACAGGTGTGGTACACCGGGGACAGCGGGCCGGATCTGCCGTATGCACTGCTCTATGAACTCGGCCAGGATTCGCCGTCAGCCACAGAGAAACAAACATTTCATTTGGAGAGAAAAAACTAAATGATCTGGAAGACAGCTTTAGGGGAAAGTACAGTGGTAAGAGTAAAGCCTCCAACTTCTCCCTCTCAAACCCAACAATAATAGTTGAGATTCACTGAGCCACCTTGTCACATTCCTTACCTCAGTCAATATCCAGTAACTCACTCATTATTACATAGTGAGTAGGCACTAGAGCCGGACTCTAAACTCAGAGATCTGACCGTGAGGCACCCCTTCTTGGAACTACGACATGGAGCTTCCCTGCTCTGATGGTGATGTCCCCGAGTCTTGTGTGATATCATGTTACCTCTCTTTCCTTTCCTTGTCTTCTCTCTTCCCTACTCCAAATCTCCAGTCAATAGGTACTCCTACATACTTCTAATACACACACCTATTTACTTATGTACACATACACTTTCCTCCAATTACCAAGGAAATGACTATTATTTCAAGAACCTGAGCCTTAACTGAAATAATTAACATTTAGATGTCAGCCCTTGGAGACGTGACTCATTGAAACTACCTGGACCACCTCCATTTATGAGGGAGATGCAGGCAATTCCTAACTAAAGCCAACACTTGTTCAAATGTCTGCTTTGATGTTGGCTGCTGGGAACTGAGAATATATTGAGTCTCCAAGTCAGCCACATAACCCACAAAGTCCCTAAAGTATGGAGCTATCTATTTCAGTATCAGCTGTCCACTATATAACATGGTTTTTACAGTGAAACTCAATCCAAGGTCTTGTCTGAGAATCCAGGGATGCCTTGGCCTTTCTCCCAGAGCCACCGTGTAGGGAAAAGGTGAGGTGGGTGATGTGAAGGAGGAAGATGGAGGAACAGGTGACACACTTTGGGGCACCGGTGCTCTGTTAGTTCTCTGACATTTGGCCATTTACTCTCAAGTGTTCCAGACGGGGGAACAAAGGGCTTTGGGGCCTCAGGGGTCAGGGCCCATTTGTAGGTCAGATTGATAATGGCTGAGACTCCTCTATATTGGCTCATGCAGGTCATCACAAGTCTGGGTCCAGGCTGAATTGCCACAGAATAAAAATCACAAGACAGCATTTTAATTGGCCTCCTTTAGGCCATTTAACAAAGAGAAAGCTAACTTGCAAGAGCAAAGAGTAATTAATGAAGGGAAGAAACAGAGGTTCCTTTAGTAACTTCCAAATAAGTTCCTCTGTCTGAGGTGGGGAAAGAAAAGGTAGCCTGCAACATACAGATAAACTGCAGGCATTTAAGTCACAATGCCTTCCGTCAAGAACTGCTCGTTACCATCAGATGCTGTGGCAGTGGGCCCGTTCGAACCAACTTTATTATTAGAAGCAATTAGGGAGAAAAGGGGCAGAATTTCATTTGGTTATTTCAAAACAAGTTTCTGTGCATGGTTTAATGAAGGCCTGCAGTGTCAAGATAAAATGTGTGTTTTACTGAAAACAGCTTTTACAAATGACTGCTTGTTACCAGCCGGTATCTCCCGGCAGAGTGGTTGGGTAGGCTGGATTCACATGTATGCCAAAATACAGCAGCTGAGCTGTCTCTGCTTCACAGAAGAGTTAGCAGGCAGTATTGCCTGATGGTTAAGCACATGTGTTCTGGACTCAGACTGTCTTCAATTCCTAATACCACCCTGGGAGCCAAATGACCCTGGGTGACCTTCTGGAATGTTCGAGCCTTAGTTTACTTATATGTAAAGTGGAGATCACAGTAGTATTTATCTCAGAAGGTTGTTGTCAAATAGCAATACACCTAATATGTTAGACATTGTTATAATTATTAACAGGTATATTCAAGAATTATTTGGGTAGGAGGTTGTTTTTTAAAGAAAGGGCTTGTTGTATAGGTGTTACCCGAAGTACAAATCAATAATAGATCCATTTATACCCTTTGGAGTTTGCATGTAAAGATATGTGTCTTCACAGTCATAACGGTTTTTATTTAAATTCATTTCAGGCAAGATTTCAATATTTCTATAGAATTCACATCTTAAAAAGATATGATTACTTTTTTGGTTTTGTAAAACCAGTTGTGAACCATATCTTCTGATTTGTAAACTCCTTATCTGTAAGGTAACAGATGGGACTTTTTGTATTTTCCTAAGGTTGAGCTTTTTCCTTATAAATCCTCATGGCAGCTTTCAACTCTTCCCTCATATACATAGCTGGGCTAAGAGAGACCGCCATGAACGGAGCTTAGAAGACCATTTAGAAAACCTCAAGTGTCACATAACAGATGGGCAGTCGAGCTTTGGATTCCCCGTCAGTACCCACGCGGAGCTATTGCCACCACACTGAGAGCCTTCTCACCGGTGGCTGCAAACTCCGTCCTGAACATCCCCCTCTTCCGTGAGAGCACATGTTGTCTTCAGTGATTTTTTTCGGGGAACCCTTCATTAAATTCTCAAGGTTAAAGATTGATTTTCCTCAACTGGCTACAATATCTGCACAGTTCCTTGGAAATGTAGCTTACCCATTATGTTTAAGTTTTGCAAACCAGCAGCATTTAACTAACGTGCCATGCACCATAATATTAGATCCATATGATGAACAAAACTCCTTTCTTGGATCTTAATAAGCAATGACTCTGTTATTAAATTCTACTCATTCTGGAAAAGGCTAAACTAGCAGAATACGCTACACGTTCATGCGCTTTCTCAGCAGTGTATTAACATCATTTCTCTGGCTGCCCTGACTTAATTTACACTAATTTAAGTAAGAGCCCGTGTCACACAATTTTAGATCTGAAGCTGAAGATTGTGAGAAAGAAAATGCTGAAGTAGATATTGCTGAAACTCTCCCCAAAAGTCTGTATGATTTTGTTCAATGTTTTTGAAAGACTTGGTTCAAGCTAATATATATTTTCTCTAAGTTGTCTACTTGGTTGAGTACTACTTTGTGTTTGTTTTAGCGATCACATTGCAACATGAGAGAATTTTTCTTTGAAAGGCTCAGAAGTGTCGAAGAATGGTTTAATCAGGGATGTCGATGCCCACTGGCAATAATGTCTGTTAGAAGGTCAAAGCTTAAGGTTTGCGTCTTCACAGAATAAAATATGCAACATAGGGAGTATCTGAGGAGAGGTTTTAAGGGAAGAGAAACATATGTATTCTTACCCTGGATCGTTCTTCTAATTTAGTCATCATGACAATTGTAGCACTCCGCTGTTCCCATATCATTCTCCAAAAGTCCCCGAATGTTTCAGGGAGAGAGCCCTGTGTTGCAATATAGGCGTTCTGTTTCCTGTAGCCATCTATGTAGTTGGCATTCACATAGTCACTCCCTGGGATGCCTGGAACAGAGGAACACTCTTCAGCGAGGCGAACACGTGACAAGAAGAAACAGCCCGGGACACTGCCTAGTGGCGTTGTTGTATTATTGTTCCACACTACGCCAGAGGAATCACAGTGATATATTAGAATTTGGGTTTATTTATTTTATTTTTTTTTACATATTTATCTTCAGACAGAGTGGGAGGTGGGGGGGAGAGAGAGAGAGAGATACATTGACATGAGAGAGACACAGCGATTGGATGCCGCCCACATGACCCCAACCGGGGCCGGAATGAACCGCAACCAAGGTACGTGCCCTTGGCTGAAATCGAACCCAGGACTCTTTGGTCTGCAGGTTGATGCTCTAACCACTGAGTCAAACCAGCCAGGGCTAGAATTTGGGTTCTAAGCAAGATTCAACAGAACTAAAGCAATGCGATGTTTGAGGTGTTAGATCTTTATACAATGACAAGGTGGACTACCAAAGAAAGCAAAACATAATCACTGTCCATGGAATGCCTTCTTCCACACTGTCTTTCTCCACTGCATCAGCAAAATATAGCTCGCCAGGGAGAATAAACAATGATCTGATCACATTCCTCACTCATTCTCATCCTCATTCCCAGACAAAAATAAAATAATGCTTGAGTCATTACAAAAAATGTGACACAGCATGTCATAATAGTAAAAAATGCTTTGCAGATTTTGTGAAAAGGGCACTCACTTAATCCTCACAACAACTCTATGAAGTAAGTCCTGTGTTGATCTTCCTTCCACGAGAGGGAAAACTGAGATGCACAGAGACTGAAAAGTTGCCCAAGATGGTGGAGTTTGGTTTAATTATAGGCAGGCAGTCAGCTACGACTTTGTCCTAACTTCTACAGAGTACTGCTTCCTGTTTAAACCTCATGGGGTGGTTGCATCACATGAATCTCTCTTTGGATTATGACAGTTGCCTCCTAATTGGCTGCCCCACTTCTATTTTTATCTTTTGCAGTCTGTTCTCCATCTAGCATGAGGGCAGTTTTAAAAAAACAATTTTAGACACTGTAGCATCACTTCTTCAAACCCAACAACGGCTTCCCCTTACACTTCAAATAAAACCCAAACTCTCAACAGTGGCTACAAAGCTCTGCACTTCTCTAGACTCATCCTGCTCCACTCACCATACTCACCGTCTAAGCTTCTGAACTCTAGACTCTGCCTCCAATTGTTAGAAAACAACAACCGCACTAGTGCCATCCCACCTCCTGGAACATACTCGGTCCCTTCCCATCGTAGAACGTTTGCCTCTACCTCGGAAGGCCTGTTCTCAGAACTCCCTTGGCAATTCTGTACATTTCACACCACAAACTGTAATTCCAGAATTGTTTGTTGACTCGCTTGTGGCCTGTTTCGGCCTTTAGACCATGTCTCTTTCATTCACCTTTGCTATTCCTAGTGACAAAAAGAGTACATAATTTTCTCCAGTTCCAACATTTAATAACTAGCAGAGCTAGAGTTTCATGTAGATATTCTGATTGAGAATTTAATTTTCCTTTAGAATAATGCATTTAAGAGAAATAAGGTGAGTTTGAGCTTCTTCCAGGGAGAGTGGCCAGAGTGACTAAGGAAGTGAAAGCTATTCCATGTCAGAAAGGAGTATATAATACAACTTGGCACCAAAAAGGTAGGGGTTGGGGGGAAGATCTGTCCATGTATATCTGAAGGGAGGTTCAGGTTTACTCTGTTGAAACCCAAGTTTTTCATTTCTGAAGGATGTAACTACAGAGATATGGATTTTCAAATAGTCAGAATCAAAAGGGAATCGATTTCCTTGGGAGGTAACACGTGGCCTATTCCCAGAGGGGGACGAGCACTCTACAGGGTATCGCTGTGATGTGGGAGGTAGGGTTAGAACATGTACATGGTTCCTTTTGCGCTCTGAGAAAACACGGGTCTTGGATTTATGAAAAAATAATATTTTCTTTATAATAAAACATATGTTCCCAAGCTAAAATTATTATATTTCACTGATTGCCACTTTCAATTACTTTGACGGATTTTCTGATTCCAGTTGTAAAACTGATCCTCTCAAGAAAAGTAATGAAAGTCAGATGGAAACCACTGGGCTTCACCACGAACACATGGATATGGAATACCACCAGCATTTGTGAAAAGCCTTTTGAGCAAAAAGGCTTTAGCTCAGTTAGCTGTAACATTATTAATCTATTACAGCTACTCAAGAAACAGTTGGGATTCTGGCAGCCATTTGTTGATAAAGATCCTATTCCTCCCTGACATCAAATTACTGTAGATTCAAAGGACAATTTAAATGAAGTCCTCAGGTTACAGCCACTGGGAAGCAGCACACCTACCTGTCCACAGGATTTGTTTCTGAGCCAACAATACATCTATTCTATAACAGGAAAAGCCCACTTTTGAAATTTTAATTTAGCAGTTATCAACATTAAAGAACACATGGGAAGGTTTTTGGCTATGGGTCTCACTCAGCTCTCAACACAAACAAACTGTTTCCCAAAATTCAAAATGGAGAAATCGGGGTTAATAACTCAGAAAACACATCGACTGGACACCCTGCCATGCATGCCCCCTTATCGAGGATAACAAATGTGTTTGAACCATGTGTCTGAGGACAGAGGTGATGGGCATGACACCCACATCTCAAGCAAGGCAACCAAACCCATCCAGCACTCAGGTATGTGGTGAACTGTTTTTACACCTACTGCTCAAGCTGGAATAAGACCCTCTTACTCTTTTTTCAGGGTGAATGGGTTGCTACTGAATAATGGCTGCTCTCCCCAGGAATAAACACAAAATTTCTGCCTGAAAACTACCGGGCACCTGGGATCAATGCTGCATCACCCAGTGCTTTAAGAATTTGGGACTTGCTATTTTGAAAAGAAGAGAATGAAAAACAAAAAGTCGACACTTCGTAGAACTAATTATCAGGCTAATGTTTACATCGTGAAAAGAATGCTGAGGCTCCTCCTCTATTCTGACACTTTTCTCTGTGGAGATTGTACCTGGGATGAAAGCCCCCTCTGGCAAATCCCTGAACCCACTCCAGCAAAAAGACATTTTGGGTAAGTCCTCTCTCACATCTCCTTGGGCTGTGTTCTCTAGAAGCTCTGAGATCTAACGTGTCCTACATCCACACAACCCAACATAACACGCTGCGTAGAAAGATGAATGAGAGATGATTTTAGAGAGTTTGCGGGGGGGGGGGGGGGGGTGCTGCTCTTCTAAAAATATTAACCCTAGACTGGAAACTAAAATGGAAAATCAGTGTGTTTTAAGTCCATGAGACCTTAGTTTTCAATGCAACAAACATACTTTGAAAAAGTTTTCAATCAACACTGGCCGGGGGGTTGGGGGGTGGGACAACCTGACATGCTGCCTTGCCAAGTGTATTGGAGCCATGAAGTGCTTCTTCCGTAGCGACTGACTGTGATGTTTCTGCTGGTAGGCTGGAGCGACAACGTTCTTCTGCCTTTTGGGGGTAATCTCCTCCCAGTAAGGCACATTTGTTTATTTCCGTTCCCTGCCTTATCCAGACAATGATTTGCATCTGCTAATGCAACACTAATCCGAGTGCACTTCTAATCTAAGAGAAGTGTGTGAGAATTCATTGATTTGCTCCGAGGCTATGACAGCTAGAAACCTAACTTAAAGTGCAGTACTGAAAGAATACAGAATAACTATAAATTAGCTGATTACTTTTATTTCTTGGAGTCAAGGAGGCCTCTGTTCAATAGTATAATAATGGTGTTTGTCCTTTTTGGGGGGTGGGGGATGATGGTAGGGAGGAATTATTAAAACAAAAGAGCAGCCCTGGCTGGTTAGGCTCAGCAGTTAGAGTATCAGTCCACAGATCGATGAGTCCCAGGTTCGATTCCGGTCAAGGGCACGTACCTTGGTTGCGGTTCGTCCCTGGCCCTGGTTGGGGTTGTAAGGAGGCAGTCAGTCAACGTGTCCCTCTCACATTGATGTTGCGCTCTCTCTCTCTCTCCCTCCCACTCTATCTGAAGATAAACGGAAAAAAATCCTTGGGTGAGGATTTAAAAAAAACCCAAAAGAGCAAAGCAAAAATACCTGCCTTTAGCTTGACATAGGCAACAATCTTAGGGCTGTTATTATTGTAGGACCGGCTTCTTGGAGTCAGTCTTAATGTCATTGTTCAAGAACAAGAACTTAGGTCTAAAAGTTGATTTTTCCTAGGGATCCGTGGCTTTATTATATTTATAATATAAATGTCGTAAATTTCCATGTATTACATGTGCTCTCCAATTAATAGTCGTGTAAATAGTTCCAACACCAATAATGTTTATCATTCTAATCTCATGAGAAAACTGAGGCTGGATCTTGAATTCATATTATCCCAGCACCCCCCTTCCTGTGTTAAAGTCTATTGCATCACTTAATAGGCAAGTCTATCTTGCGGTGCTTAAAATATTACATGTTTAGACTGGGTCTTCGTGTTTGGACCGACTGAACTTAGAGCTGTGAAACTCATGTCTTTAAGACTAACAGAGGTTCTGATGAGGTAAAAGATGGGTCGAGCTGGGCTTCTGTGTTCTCTATGTGTAAAAAGCTACAGCAAACAGCTTTTCAAACAGAATTAAGTAAGTTACAGACTCTTCTTTTATTTGCTGGGAACTGCAGTTATAGCTGTCAGTGGAAACATGGACTTTGGGATCCACTGTTCTTTTAATTGCCTGCAAAACTTTGAAAACATCCTCCTGAGCTCCAAATGCAGGGACAGCAGCTTTTTTCTTCATGGAAGCATGAGTGAATAGGACAGGGCCTCCTGATGTTGTTCCTACTTGCATTTGAATATAACAGAAGGGGAGAAATCCCTGGAAAGATAAAGCTACTCTGTCTAAAAGAATATTTGTGCCCTGGCCAGTTTGGCTCAGCGGTTAGAGCGTTGGCCTGCGGTCCGGAGAGACCCAGGTTCGGTTCCTGCTAAGGGCACGTACTTCGGTTGCAGTTTGTCCCTGGCCCTGGTTGGTCGTGC